GTCCAGGGTGTACCCCGCCCCTCGCACAGTGATTGCTGGACATGGGCACCAGCGACCCCCGTGACCCAAAATGGAATAAGCGGGTAAAGAAAATGGATGGATGGATGGATGGGTATAAACCTTTATTTGTCTTATATTAGTAGAGAACAATAATGGTTACAATTAGTAAAGAATGAACTATACATCTGTACAGCCACCAGTATACTCAGGCGTACGTCAGTCCGTGGAGGTCATGTCGGTGCAAAGCTCAATTTTTATGACCGCATACGTGTACTCGGTATCACACAATGAACTGCCTGGCAACAGACTGTTTTGTTTGTGACAGCAATGTACTGTTTCCCTTCTTCATCCCAGATCTGATTAATGTGTGTATGCCTGTGTACTTGTTTTCTTGACATCTCAGGACATGCTTATCACACACCTTCAATGTCAGGACACTGGAAAAAACGAGGAGAATTTTCACTTCCTCATTTGTCAGAGCATGAGAACAATAATGGTTTTTTTTTTAATGTCCAGAGGACCAGATTGAACTTTTTTGGATTTTTCTACCTGGATTATTGAGCATGCATCAGGATATTAATGGTTACAATTAGTTGAGGGAGGACTGATAAAAATGTATCAAGTACTATACAGTATTATGTATACTATACAGAACACTGTGTATATAAAATGTATGTAGAATGGTATAATATAGAATATAATACAATAGAATAGTCAAGTCAAATTTATTTGTATAGCACATTTAAAACATGAACTGTTACCAAAGTGCTTAACACAAAGATCAAAGCATCAAATAAAAATACAAGTCTCAATAACAATATAATTTTGGAGGGCCTGTTGACCCCTTTAGGAACACCCAATATGGTTCATGCTCACAGGGTACAGTTTGTAGGACTCCTTGGATATCCTCTGAAAGTTTTGTGGTCCTGGGTGCTTCCTATCAGATGTTAGGGTGCAATCAGTAGAAACGTGCCATAGCCGGCGCAAATAAGGGAGGACTAAATGAGTCCAAAACCCAAACCTGAAGCTCCAGTGAGAACTCAGTCTGACTGAGGTCTCTTCCCAACACAGATATCAGTCACAGCACCTTCGTTCCGGTATAGATTTACTATGAGACCTAAAATGTATTCCATCAGTCATAGAACAGACAAAAAATAATTCACACTCCATCGCCAGTTGTTGATAGAAATATGCTGTAGGTCTGTGCATGCATGAACTATACACCTGTACAACACCTGTACAGCCTCCAGTGTACTCGGGTGTACATCAGTCCATGGTGGTCATGTCCGTGCAAAGCTCAATTTTTACGACTGCGTAAGCGTACTCCGTGACACACAATGAACTGCCCGTTGACGAACTGTTTTTTGCGACACCAATATATTACATTTCCCTTCTTCATCCCTGATCTGGTTTAATGGCCTTTTCTTTTGTTCTTTTTTGCCAAAAGGCAAACAATCTCTTCTTCCTCCTCCAATGACGCCATGACTGAAATGGTGATAAACGAAGGGATTTGTCACAAGCAAATTAAAATCAGGTCCAAAGGATCTGGAGATTTCCTGATGGGTTGGTCTGATGTGTGGGCTGTAGGGCCAGCACTCCCTGTTTTTTTGTTTTTTTTAGAACTTTTTCTTAACAACATATAAACAAAACACAGCTGCGGATGAGGCCGACAACTCTCGTTTTTTTGCAACATTCAATCCAGTAGGCATGTCAGCAAATGTGTGTGTGTTCACAGACAATGAGGAACAGACTTCAAATTTAAGAAAAAACTAGCAGCGTTAATGCGTAAATCAAAAATTGTTGCCATTAATCACTGGCTGCGTTAATGAGTTAACGAGTTAACGGCCCAGCTGTCCTTTTAAAACGTTATTTTAGCAACAATAAGAGTGAAATCCTCTGTGTGGGATTGATAAATGGTCAGAAGCAGCCTAAAAAGGGCCTCGTCTCTGCAGCCATATTGGGAAACTGTTTTGTGAAAGAGCCTAATTTTGGTGTAACAACAATGTTAAAGGGTCCTCTTTGGGTACCCTGTGGAGCTCTCTGAGGGGTCCAACAGTGTGGATGTAGTTAAGCAGCAGGACATGTGGGTTTAGTTGTATCACCAAGGGAACTTGTACAATGAGCAATGCGTCTCTGGAGTAAGTGAGTAGAAGCTCACCTTCCGCAGTTTGGCGTTGGAGCAGAGCAGTAAACACTTCTTTAGTGTAACTCTGATCTGTAAACCCTGCCTGGTGTGACCTCATTAAGTCATTTCTGTCTACCTTACCTGCATGTCAGGTGTTCAAACTACCACACCCACTCAGGCGTACTAAAAACAGTGCCATGTTATTTGACCTGGTCTGAGCACTTCTGACTTCTGAGGATGCTCAGAGAAACACATGTTTGATGGAGGACTGGTTGTGGAAATTAAACGAGTAGTTTTAGCTGATCTGGAAGCGTCAGTGTGGCCCGTCGGCTCTAAGCTCTCCTTTCATTCTGTCTTTGCTCTTTCTGTGCTGTTTAGTCGCACACAGTCATCTGGGGGGTTATCATCAGCTTGACAGTTTGGACTGGTTTGTTCAACATGTTAAAGTAAAAAGAATATATTGTGTTTTCTGACTGTTTCAGGTTCAACTGACTGCATTTGCTTTGCCACGGTGGGATCCAACGACCCCGTGACCTCTGCACTGCACATCATCGTGGGTCAGTCAAATAACTTGAACTGTGTCGCTCGGGGTGGCTGCATGTTGGAGCAGCTCTCTTACTTTCATTTTGAGTTTTTGCTTTTGAAAACTTGAACTCCTCTTTTTCTGGATGTAATTCACTCTTTCAGATGATCGTTTCCTCTGGTGTCAGATGCTGTGCAGCTGGAAGGATTTTTACTGAAACCTTTTTACGCTTGAGCATTTGTTATGATGTGTAACCATGGCAACAAGGTGTTTTTTAACAACCAGGAGCAGCTGATTAACATCTCAAAAGCTCAGATAGCTCAACTAAAGCCCCAAATCCCAAGTGGGTTGAGAAGGAGGCAGCGTGGACGAATTCCCGTCAATCTGGCGGCACTGCTCAAGTACCTGACCGCCGAGATCCTGGAGCTGGTGGGAAACTCTGCTCGTGACAACGGGAGGACCGAGAGACTCGCCGGATCTGACAGCAAGCTGGATCCAGGTGGACAGATCGGTATCTGTGAACAGATTCTTTGGATCCGCTGCAGGAGATCCTTCCTGCCCACAGCTGTCAGCATCTGTACCTCTTGAATGGAACCAGGATGACGAGTTACGACGACACTTAATTTTTCTTTGGGATTAATAAAGTATTTTTGAATTTGAATTAAACAGCTGCATATAAATCATAATCCCAGCACTGATGACTTAGGTGGACTTTTAACAAATGTTAAAATACAAAGCACAGTCTCTGTGTTTGATAAGAAGCTGCTTGTCCATCGTTTTTAAGATCGGGTAAAGTGACAAATGATTTTCAGCTGTCACACAAACTAGTTTGTCCTGGAAGAATCCTAAAAAAGTAATCTTGAAGGTTGAGTGAGCCGTCTGTTCTGACAGGACCACTGAAGCTCATTCAGATCTTTCAGGACCAAAGACAACAGAAGAAGCGTTCTGTAAAGGTTTACCGTGCGCCTGTTCTTTATTTCCTCAGCCATGAACATGTCCACAGCTGTTTCCTTTTTCATCTTGTTGTCCCCCCTTGTGGACTGCACCTATACAGCTCCTTTCTATCTGATCCAGACACTCAAAGCTCTTTACAACAATCTGTGCCTCATTCACCCATTCATACAGCTCTATACTAGATCTCTACAAAGATAATTGAACAAATCATTCTAAAGAGACTAATCAGAGCTTTATCACATTCATACACTGATGGGACACATCGGAGGCAACGAGGGGTTCAATGTCTTGCCCAGGGACACTTCGGCATGTGACTGCTGGTGGATTCGAACCCTCAACTCTCGCATTGGAGGACGACTGCTCTAACCGCTGAGCCACAGCCGCCCGTTGTGGAGCGAAGAGGAGTCTTGGAAGACCAAAGATTAATCTATGGGGGCCATGGCCACCAGTGGCCACCCCCTGGCTCCACCATTGTACCTGGTGGTGGATAAAATAAGTCGCTCCACTCGCCAGGATCATGTTCTCCACAGTGCAACTCCTCCCCACCTGAACATCTTGCACCAAAAACATTACGGTTTACTTGGTTCACTGTTCCAGTCCATAAAATCTACAAACATTCATTGTTGAGCTCGTCAGCGACAGACGTGTTGTGATTTGTCTCTGGATGTTGTCGCTTCAACAGATGCTCGTTTTCGTGTGCTCGGTGTCGGGTGTACCTGCTGACTCTTATGTGGATGTGGTGTGTTGGCTCAGGTGACTCTCAGCCCATGGACGTGTGCTCGGTTCACCACAACAGCTCGTTCCTGCGCTACTCCGTCTCCCTGCTGGGCTACGGTTTCTATGGCGACGTGCTGACTGACAGTGAGAGGAAGAGATGGATGGGACCAGCCAGATATGATTTCTCAGGTGACGCCGCAGTCTGCCCACTGGATTAGCTCCTGTGGTTGGACATGACGAGAATGTTTCCTGTTCCGCAGGTTTGAAAACGTTCCTGACTCATCATCATTATGAAGGAACAGTGTCCTACCTGCCGGCCAGAGGCATCATGGGAACTCCCAGAGACGCTGCCAGGTGTCGAACTAAGTGAGTGACATGTAGAAATATGTAAACATGTGCAGTGTTTCCTGTAGGTCACTCGCCTTGGCAGGGCGCTCGTGTCGACCCAGGGTGGGGGTGGGGGTGAAGGATGTTTCGCCCTCCTTGTATAACGGTAGAGAAACACTGATCAGCGCTTGTACTTCACCTCTGACTTATAACTTTGTTTTTAACGTAGTTATTGTTTGATTCCTCTTTGATGGTTCAGTGTGTGGCTGAATGCATTTGGTGTCGGTCCACAGCAGCTGAAGCACACGAGGCTTTCAGGAAGAAACCGCACCGCACGTCAAACCTCTGAACTTGTTTAGTCCTCAGGCAGCAGGAAGAGAGAAATGACCACGAGGAGCTTTAACGGCAGCGTGTCTGTTCCTGTGGGTACTGGGAACAAAGCGAACATGCACGTGTGAAAACTTGTTGTAGAAGAACTTGCTGAAAAACAGCTGAGATGGAAGAACAAGCCTAGATTAGCAAAAGAAAGCTGAAATAACACATATTTGTTCAATTAGCTTTAAATAAACGGAAAAGAGCACAAAAATTAGGAAATTTGCTTTAAAAAAAAAAAAGGGGCTGAACTTCACAAAAAATATAGCTGAATATTATATATATTATATATCCAAAAATGCAGAAAGAAGATTAAACTACCAGCAGGAAGTGCAAACAGCTGTAATAAGTTTAAAAAAATGTGGAATTAGCTGAAAAAGCTAAATTAACATAAAAACTGCTAAATAGTAGCTAAAAGAGTAGAAAAAGCTGAAACTAGCATAAATAAGCTGAAAGGAGCATAACAAGCTGAAATTAGCAGAATGAAGTTAACTAGGTTGTAAGTAGCAAAAATTACCATTCAAAATACAAACTTATCTGGAAACAGCTGAAATGAGCTAAAATGACAGATGGAAATGTAGAAGAAGCTTAAATTAGCCGAAGAAAACAGAAAGAATACATGTTTGCCCATTTAGGCTGAAAGAAGCTGAAATGAGCACAAAAAGTGAAAATTATCTGAAAAAAAGCTGAAATTAGCAACAACAACAACCAAAAAAAAAAAAAGACTGAAAAATAGCTAAAAAGGCAAAAAGAAGCTGAAATTACCAGAAGGAAGTGGACAGAGCACATTTTGCTGAACTGGGCTGAAAAAAGTTGAAATGAGTGCAAAAAAGTGGAATTAGCTGAAAAAGCTTAAATTAGCATAGAAGTAGCTAAATAGTAGCTGAAATAGTTGAAAAAGCTGAAACTTGCAGAAATAAGCTGAAATTAGCAGAAAGAAGTTAGAAGAAGCACACAAATGTTGTAGTTAGCAGAAATAAGCTAAAAGGAGCACAAAACAGCTGAAATTAGCTGAAAACAGTTTAAATTTGCAGCAGGAAGCTGAAAGAAGCTGAAGCAGAACAAAATGTGAAAGGAGCTGTAAAAGGTTGTAAACACAGCTAAAGATTTGAAGGAGGGAAAATGAGCTCAATTCGTTTCTGTGACAGGCATCCCCAGATGACAGACCTGGGTCCGGATCCGGACCGAGTCATGGTTCTGTCTGGACCCGTGCCCAATCTGATAAATTCAGGAAAGTAGATCAGCTTCATGGAGCATTTTTCCAGAGATGGACAGTTTATGTGCAGAGCTGCAGGAGGTTCCCTCTGCTTCAGGTGTTCCAGTAATGAGACCCTCAGATCTTCAGCTTCCTGCTCCGTGCAGCGAGCTCGCACCAGAGAAGGAGCAGACAGAAGAGACGGCAGGTCGTGCTCCAGAATAAGACAAGTTGATGCTGAAAACTGTTTAAAGATGAGCGCACAGAGACGTTAATGTTCCTTCTTCCAGCAGGAAGTTCACAACCTGTTTGCCTCAAATGCTCTGAAACGCTCACGCTCGTTAAAAATGGCAGCGTGAAGCCTCTTCTTCTCTTACGAGCAACGTGATCTGCTGAAGTCGAGCGGTCACGTGCCCGTTTCGCTCATTAAGAAAAGTCAAATAAAAATAAAAGAGAAAGATGATTTTAAAGCTCTGTTTTCAGGTTTCTCCTAAAAGAACCGTTTTTTATTCGTTTTCTGAAGATGCTGACGTTTTACTTGAAAACCTCATTTTGTATAGGTTGCTACCTCTTTAAGCAAAAAACAAAAAAAGACTTTGTGTTTGCATTTGTTTTTTGTTTTTGCTAAAAGATCAACTTTTTAATTGTTTTCTGTTTTCTAAAGCTGTTAACTTTTGTACTTTAAGTGTAAGCCTTCACTTCTTTAGGCTTGGACCTCTTCAGTTTAAGAGCTTATTAGGCTGTTTGCACATTTAAGATGTGTTTTATTCTCAGCTTTCTGTTTTAATCTGAAATTAAGGCCCTAAATTGATTTGCCTGGGACTAGTTGTTTCTATAAAGTTCAGCTTGTTAACAGTAAAAATGTGAATATGGTTAGGCAGACCACAAAGGACAAAAGTTGCACTTTTGTTCGGACCTTTTACTGGGAGGAGATTTTAGTAACTGGACCTCTGTTCATTTTCTATGAGAACAAAGTGGCAGAAAAGGCTAAATATTTCAAACAGCTGAAGGTTCACTAAACCAAAAGTCATAGCAGGATTGTCCTGAAAGAGCCGAATGTTTTGATTGATGATTTATTGAAATAAGACAAAAGTTGTGGGATGAGAAAGATGCAGAAAAATGTATGTAAGAAAAATGGATCACAATAGTGAATGCTTCATAAACATTCACACAACTACTAAAAGGAATGCGTTATTTTATAATAATTATAACGAGATCAGAAAATGCATTTTTAATGGGACTTCCCTGTGGTCAGTTTTTATCTACGGACCACTAGAGGGCAGTGACGTTACTGTGAGTTTACACTAATTCTACAAGACCAAACCTTCACAAGGATTTTACTCAGTTTACTGACAGCAACAACAAGTACAAATACAATTGTGGCAGATTTATTTATGAACCCTTTTGAGAGTTAACATGAATATCCAGACATTTTAAAATTCAAAAGCAATGACTGATATTCATTCATCAGATCTTGACTTTAACGTTTGTTTTAATGCCAGACCAGCACAGTAGATAAGAATTTGTTCTTGGTTAAATAAAGGTGAAAACAAATGTTTGTCAGTTTCAAGTTATTTCAGTGACTTTGGGGGCGTTGCTTTTTCCAGAAGGATTCAAATGAGTGATGGTGGGAGTGTGAGGCGGTGCGTGAACAGCTCCTTCAACATGATTTGTGTGTCTGTAAATGTGCAGCTGTGTGGTTTGTCAGCACAACGGACAGAAGGCGTCACAAAGAGCTGGGAAGTACGAGACGGACGAGACGTCAGACTGTGGTGAGTCCAACAACCACATCAGAACTTTACAGTGTCTTGTCTTCAGTATATGACCTAACCAACAGCAGATGTACGTTTCTGATTGGTCCATAGTTACATTGGACCCTCTGCACGCCCAGGTAGAGGTGCTCCTTGACACAGCTGAGGTCTGTTTTCAGCAAACTCTATGTTTCAGACAACGATGGGGAGTGGAGGACGGTCCGAGGGAAGTTTCTGGCGATAAACGCAGCCAGCATGAGCTGTGCGTGTCCCCGCAGCCCCAAAGGTCTCTCACCTGCTGCTCACCTGGCTGACGGCACCACCGATCTCATCCTGGTTCGAAAGTGTTCCCGCTTCAACTTCCTCAGGCACCTCCTCCGTCACACCAACAAAAACGACCAGGTCTGTTGAGACGTTACACCTGGATACGATTTACAATTCTTTTGTCTGAATCGTCCAACATGGCGTCCTCTTGTCCTCCTCAATCAGTTTGACCTCAACTTCGTCGAGGTCCACCGCGTGGTGCGTTTCCGCTTCACGCCACGTCACTGCCAGAGCGACTCGGACCTGGAGCTGGACCTGCTGGAGAACGGCAAGAGGCAGATTTTTAGTCAGATCTGCCGAGACCACCCGGCTTGTGGCTGCGCTCCCGCCTACAGCAGCTGGAACTGCGATGGCGAGATCCTGACCCACACAGCCATCGACGTCAGGTACTGGAACTGCTCCAAGTTCTCTCCTTCTTTGAACCCAGATTTGTCTGAAAAACTCCTTCTTCTTTCCTCTTCTCAGAGTGCACTGCCAGTTGATCAAGCTGTTTGCTCGAGGAATTGAAGAACCCCAAGTGTTCGAGGATTTCAGTAACCCCTGTGCAATATGAAGCCCCCCTCCCACTATCAGAAGCTGGAGGAACCTGTTTCCAGCTGTCAGACGCTGGAGACTCCTGTTTCCAGCTGTCAGACGCTGGAGGCGCCTGTTTCCAGCTGTCAGACGCTGGAGACTCCTGTTTCTAGCTGTCAGATGCTGGAGGCGCCTGTTTCCAGCTGTCAAATGCTGGAGTCGCCTGTTTCCAGCTGTCAGACACTGGAGGCGCCTGTTTCCAACTGTCAAATGCTGGAGTCGCCTGTTTCCAGCTGTCAGACGCTGGAGTCGCCTGTTTCCAGCTGTCAGACGCTGGAGACTCCTGTTTCCAGCTGTCAGACACTGGAGGCGCCTGTTTCCAGCTGTCAGACGCTGGAGGTGCCTGTTTCCAGCTGTCAGACGCTGGAGACTCCTGTTTCTAGCTGTCAGACGCTGGAGACTCCTGTTTCCAGCTGTCAGACGCTGGAGACTCCTGTTTCTAGCTGTCAGATGCTGGAGGCGCCTGTTTCCAGCTGTCAGATGCTGGAGGCGCCTGTTTCCAACTGTCAAACGCTGGAGTCGCCTGTTTCCAGCTGTCAAACGCTGGAGGTGCCTGTTTCCAACTGTCAAACGCTGGAGTCGCCTGTTTCCAGCTGTCAGACGCTGGAGGTGCCTGTTTCCAGCTGTCAGACGCTGGAGACTCCTGTTTCTAGCTGTCAGATGCTGGAGGCGCCTGTTTCCAGCTGTCAGACGCTGGAGGCGCCTGTTTC